GGGCGCGGACAAGGCGCGCGAGGGCGGCGTGGTGGCCGCACGAGATCGTCCACCGGAGCAGGGCCTTGACGACGACTTCCTGAGCCGCGACAGGCTCGGCCGCCGCGTCAGTGGTGGTGAGTTCGTCGACGTTAGCCTGGCGTGTCAGCTTGCCGCCACTGAGCCTGAGTGCGTGTGCGTGTGCGTGTGCGTGCGCGTGTGCGTGTGCGTGCGCGCGGTACCCACCATCAATTGTCTTCTCCTGTGTGCGGTGGTGCGTGTGCGGTGGTGCGTGTGCGGTGGTGCGTGTGCGGTGGTGCGTGTGCGGTGGTGCGTGTGCGGTGGTGCGTGTGCGGTGGTGCGTGTGCGTGTGCGTGTGCGTGTGCGTGTGCGTGTGCGTGTGCGTGTGCGTGTGCGGTGTAGGCACCTGCGCAGGGTGCGCAGGGAGTGCTGGCTGAACAGACGCCAGTCGCCGCGCTTGCGCTCGTGCACTCGCGCTCTACGCTCGCATTTCCGTTGGCTGGCCGCGTCCTTGGCCGCTGGCGGAGGCGCCGGCAACGGTCCTCCGAACTCTCTCCCGTGGGCCTGCCCCCAACTAATTTTAATTTTATATTCGAACTAAAATCAATAAAAATATTAAATCAAATAATTTGTAAATATAACGGTCCGCCAGAGCGTGCTCGAGTCGTATAAAAAGGAGCGCCACCGCCGGCAGACGGCTTCGGTCCGCGTCAGGTCAGCGATCGTGAGCCGCTCCAGCACGGCCAGCACCACCTCCACGGGCACGTCTGCCACCGCGCCAAAGAAGCTGCTGCAGCCGTCCACTTCGCCCTGCCCCATCTTGGTCGTTGGTTTTTTTAAATGAATAAAGATAATAAAATGAATTTGCCGTTTTAAGGGAAGTTTTTCTTTTCTTTTTCTTAAAATTGGAAAAGACTGTCCGAAAATAAGAATAAAAATATAATAGATTTGACGCACACAGGCCAGTCGCGAGGACCGCCAAGCTCGTCGCCTTCTTCTGCTCTTCTTCGTGCGCTGTACTACCGCGACATCTATCATAAAACTTGAGTGATAACTAGAAAAGCAAAGTAATCTGACATCGACAACAATGAACGGAAGGAAAGTGGTAACGAGCGCTATCATCGTGTCGCCGCCCAAGGATACGTGGGGACCCATCCAGGACATCAGGCTGAAGTTCGATAAGGCCTACAAGCGTTGGATGCCCCACATCAATCTCATCTACCCGTTCTTCCCTCGTACGTCCTCCCCCGTTTTTATTAATTATTTATTTTACTAAATTAACATATTTGTGTCCCGGCGACAGAGTCCCAGTTCGAGTCGGTGCTGCCCGAGCTCAAGGCCGGACTCGCCGGCGTGGCTCCCTTCACCGTGCGCTTCGAAACGTTTGACTACTTCGAGCACGGCGCCAGCAGCTGTACCCTCTTCCTCAAGCCCACCGTACAGGTGCGGACTTGTTGTGGGCTTGCGTGTCGTGCGTTGTGTCGTGCGTTGTGTCGTTTCTATGCGCGTGTTGTGTGCTGTGTGCGATCGCTGTGGCGTACGTGTTCACCCTGTCGTGTGCGTGTGGCGTGTGCGGTCTGTTGTCTGGTGTGCAGCCTCCGAATGCGCTGCGCGAGCTGCAGGCGGCGCTGGAACGCGTCTTCCCGGCGTGCAACGAACAATCGACCAAGAGCGAGGACGGCTTCCATGCTCACCTCACCGTAGGCCAATTTAGGGGCAAGGTATGTCGTGTCGTGTCGTGTGTGTCGTGCGTGTCGTGCGTGTCGTGTGTGTGTCGTGGTGTGTGGTGCGGTCACTGACGTTGACGTC